ATCTCGCTGTTTTTACAGGTTCGAGGGGCACAAGAGGAAGATGAGGAAGATGAAGGAGTGCTTGGGTCKGTCTTGCTGCTCTCTCCGTTGCTTGTGGAAGGCATCTCTGTAAACACACAGACCGGTAAATAAGGTAAACGTTAATCTCTCCACTGTGGTGTTCAAGAGAGCTCACCACGCACAAACACAACAATTAGAAATGTTTTCTATCCTTTACATGATGAAATAGAATCATTTGTGAGTGTGAGTCTTGGTCTGACTCACCATCGCTGGCCCATTTAGAGAATTCAGGCGTTATTCTGTTAGAAGGCATGCCACCACTATAACAAAAAGCACAACAGTCAACATGAGAGGTGTCTCTGTAGAACTGTGATGTTAGGGTTCTGCTGGAGTGTATAAGTCTTCATACTTTAGCACAGCTCCTCGTAGTGCCTCCCTCTCCCGGGCCTCTCCTTGGTCCTCACCAGCACCAGAGCAGGGGATGATATCGGCTTCAGTGTATTGGGCTTTACCGTACTCCAAGGTGTCGTCCCCATCCACATCGAGGTCAGCGTCACTGTCTGCTGCGCTCTCCTTGATGCTACATGTTGCAAAGCCTGTTCCTGTGGAAAAAAACAAAGAACAATTTTCAGTATCAACAGGTTTTTCACAAAAGGTTTTGCACACGACTAAGTATGAGTCACTTGTTAAGGTGCTTTCAACTGTTCACAGAGGAACCACTTGAGTTGCCAAGTCCTGCAACTATGTGTTCTCACACAAACGCAACCGTAGAATTGATGAGAGGCATCAGCCCTGTTGGTAATTAACCCAACTTCACACCTACTACAACACTTAAGGCCTCCATATACTCCATCTGAACTGTTCTCATTGTCGTAGTTGTTTGATGAAAACTGTGTCACTTTGTTCGCAGCTTCGAGTCATCAATCTTTTTTGGGTGGAAATTTTCACCCCCTCTGCTTAAGAAATAACTGTGATTGGTCAGAAGTTTGTGGGCATGTTTGTTTATGCTGAAAGCGTCTGGATGCAGACATTTATAAAGATTGTCAAATGGCCAAAAACTCATGGAGGSAGATAAAATAGACATTGTGAACGGAGGAATCCATCTGCCAAAAAGTGTAGGGCTTTAACCATAACAGATTTGTGGACAAAATAAAATAACGGCCGATATCGAAGACCTCACCCTTTCCTCACAGTGTCTACTTTAGTGGGAAAAGACCTTGTGCAGTGACATATATACAGTACCATAGTGTGGGGAATTTCCCAAGAGCTCAGCATGGTGTGTCACAGGGGCTATGAAAGGAGCATGCAGAAGCAAACTTAATAACATAATTACGCATCAACTGTTTGGCTTCRGTTTGAATACAATGGGACCTTTACTCAATAGTTAACATTGGAGAGCTGATTTTAACCGGCTATCAAGCCTTGTCTGATCACACTGAGAACCTTAAAAAACCTTAAACAAGGCAGTGAGGGTTTTTTTAAATTTCATTACACTTCTTTATTCTGGAAGTTAATTAGTAAACAAATGATGCAAAATATATTAAATATTTCTATAGATTTATTTTGTATAAAATACAAACACGTGTAAAAAACACACACACACACACACACAC